CATGTTTGGTGTGACGGGGATTCGAACCCGCGACCTTCAGATTGCGAGTCGAGCGCTCTAACCACCTGGCCATGCCGGGTGCCGTTTGTAAGAAGAACAGAGGGTGAAACGTAATTAAGAATTCGATAGCTTTGCTATTTTTTACTTGAACTCACGTATAATCCGGCTTATCCTATACACATATGACAAGTTTCTGGTATTTTCTAAATTTTCCACTAAAAAAAAAGTTTCTAAAATAAACACACGCACACAGACAAGAGTGACAGAGCAGTAGAGTGGCCAAACTATTGATATTAACCACTTTTTGGACTCTGTTACTTACACTTTTCGTATACCATTGATACATGTCTGATGGAATACACCGCCACTCCTTTTGTATACGCCTCCCAGTGGCACAGCGGTATGTCTGCTGACTTACAACGCTAGAATCCGGGTTTCGATACCCGTGGTGGGCAGAGCACAGATAGCCCATTGTATAGCTTTGTGGCTTAATTACAAACAAACAAACCTAGCCCCCTGGTGGCTCAGCCGTAAGTCTAAGGGCTTATAACGCTAAAAATGAGGTTTCTATACCAGCGATGGACAGAACACAGATAGCCAATTAAGTAGCTTTGCGCTTAACAACAACCAAACTATATGAGGACTTACAGTGTTGAAAACCGAGTTTCGATACCCGTAATGGGCAGAACACAGATAGTTTATTGTGTATATATGTGCTTAACAATAATCAAGCCTATCTTCAAGAGATATGTCAGTTTGATAAAGATTAGAGAAACAAGAGATATGTCAGTTTTTCATGTAGTTGTCAGTCGTTTTTTATCAATACATAAATCATACACATTCACACACATACCCACGTTTGCTTGTGGGGATGGAAGATACAAGTGTTGTGTTGGTTTACGTTTAACACTTATACTCAGTATTACAGTTTTAAGCCTTTTCTCTAATCCTTCATCCAACGCTTTAACTCCACGTTTTCTCGATTGGTAAGCAAAAAAAAAAAAATTGGTGGCGAGTTCTAGTTTGTTTTAGCGCTCTGTGGAGTTTGAGGAATCGAACCCCGGATTTTAGCATTGTAAGCCCATCGATACACTAGGGGACGATAATTGAGGACAGTAAAGGCTCGGTTGTAAGAATTATAAAGTAGTTGAATATCGTGATTCCAATTCAGCACGTATTTATGTTTGTCTTTAGACCTGAAACTGAAGATGCCCCCTGGTGACAACCCCACGTTTGTACCTTTCATGAACAACACCGTTTTAAGTGTGAATATCGTGATTACAATTCAGCACGTATTTATGTTTGTCTTTAGACCTGAAACTGAAGATGCCCCCTGGTGACGACCCCACGTTGGTACCTTTCATGAACAACACCGTTTTAAGTGGCGAAGAAGACTCTCAATGTCTCCATTTTGATTACAACTATGATATCACAACAGCTGTGGTTTGTGGGATGTACTTAGTATTTGGTGTGGTTTACACGCTCTATGGTAAGTTATTCTGCGATGTACTTAGTATTTGGTGTGGTTTACACGCTCTATGGTAAGTTATTCTGGGATGTACTTAGTATTTGGTGTGGTTTACTACGCTCTATGGTAAGTTATTCTGGGATGTACTTAGTATTTGGTGTGGTTTACACGCTCTATGGTAAGTTATTCTGGGATGTACTTAGTATTTGGTGTGGTTTACACGCTCTATGGTAAGTTATTATGGGATGTACTTAGTATTTGATGTGGTTTACACGCTCTATGGTAAGTTATTCTGGGATGTACTTAGTATTTGGTGTGGTTTACACGCTCTATGGTAAGTTATTCTGGGATGTACTTAGTATTTGGTGTGGTTTACACGCTCTATGGTAAGTTATTCTGTAACTAAAAAAATAATCATTACTTCAATTCCTGATACTTATTGTTTTTTGTTGTTGTTTTTCATTGCTTTAGTTTTCAAAGAATGTGTGTTTTCTTATAGCAAAGCCACATCGGGCTATCTACTGTGTCCACCGAGGGGAATCGATCCCCTTATTTTTAGCATTGTAAATGCGAAGACTTAACGTTGTCCCACCGGGGGGACATTTTCAAAGAAACATATTAAAAATTGTCATCATTTCTCTTTCATGCCCCCCAGTGGCACAGCGGTATGTCTGCGGACTTACAACGCTAGAAACCTGGTTTCGGTATCCGTAGTGGGCAGAGCACAGATAGCCCATGGTGTAGCTTTGTGCTTAACTTCAAATACACATCAAACAATCCTCTTTCATACATAGAGTATAAATATTTGTGTTTAACTACAAACACACAAACTTGAAATGGAAAATTAAAATTGAAACAAATCTCGTGAGGTAAGTTAGACTTTAACCTTTCAAAAGATTCTTCAGGTATCAACATACTAAATCAGTTTTTTTTTTTACGATAAGCCTTTTTAGATCAGAAAAAAAAACAAGCTTAAAACAATATCACCGTTTTCTTTCCATTAAGCATCTACATTTAATTTGTGAATCAGAGGTATAACGATATTCTTTGAGTAGAGTTATATGTTTAGCCTTTTTCTTTTTTACTGTAACGGCGAAAATAAAGCTTTTTTAGAGTTACAATTATTCCATATCGTTGTTAAACTTGTCTTCTTTATTCGGTAAAATTTTAAGTAAACAAAACACGTTATGATATTTCTAATTGACAAAAGATTAACACTTTGTACATTGGCTAATATCCCCATCCCACCAAACATGCTCGCCCTTTCAGCCGTTATAATGTGACGGTCAATCCCACTATTCGTTGGTAAAAGAGTAGCCCAAGAGTTGGCGGTGGGTGGTGATGACTAGCTGCCTTCCCTCTAGTCTTACACTGCTAAATTAGGGACGGCTAGCGCAGATAGCCCTTGTGTAGCTTTGCGCGAAATTCAAAACAAACATACGTTGGCTAATCTCCATGTCTAACGTGGACAGTGCCGTACCGATGGGGCCTGGCATGACCCGATGGTTAGGGCGCTCGATTCGTAATCTGTGGGTCATGGGTTCGAATTTCCGTCACCTAACATGCTCGCCCTTTCAGCCGTGAGGACGTTATAATGTAACGGCCAATCCCAATATTCATTGGTACAAGAGTAGCCCCGAGAGTTGGCGGTGGGTGGTATTGACTAGCTGTTTTCCTCCTAGTCTATCACTACTAAATTAGGGACGGCTAGCCACGGTACGGCCCTGAGTAAGAAAGAAAATCGTGATAATAGTTTCGATTTAAATCATTTGACTCCAAACTCAAAGTTTGAGGCCAAAAGCAACCTGGAGTGTTCAGAAACACATTTCTCTTCACCCCGCTCGCGATAAGAGATTGTTTGAGAATGTGTACGTGAGAAAAAAAACCACACAATTCTTTAACCTGAAGTCGGTTGGGAAAAACCACAGATGGCTCGTGAGTAAGCCCCTTTTCCACTAGACTGGAGAGCAGGACAACCCAAACGGGTGGGGATCTATAGATCTAATACCCATAATTTTGATGTGAGAGGAAAACAGGTGTGTCCTGAGAAAAACCAACAGGTACGGCCCTGAACAACAACTAATTTGGTAGGTATTTTGGTTTTAAAATCTAATAAGTCTCCAAGCTATACACGTATGCATGTAGTAGATTATGAGGCTCCATATAAACTACAGACTACATTAAAACGATCGAGTATAATATACTTAAAAATTACCCAGCACAGTGCGCAATGATGCGTTTAGTAATATTTCCCAGGTTTTATTACAATACTCACAGTCATAAAGAAAAACAAATGGGCAATCCCTATTATGAAGCAGAAGGATCTTATTCAAATGTGTTTAATGTTTGGTTGTGTTAGCTGGAAGACAACTTCTCACAGTAGCTGTTTAACTAAATATGTGTATATTATTACAAGGTTTAATAAAGTTTGTGAAGTTTTAAAGTTTTTCTGGGTGTTTCTGTACAGAATGATGTGCTGCACAGCTTCTGATTGGATACGAAAATACTCTTACGTGAAGTAATGAGAATCCATCGTGATTTTTACGGTTTCTCAAAGAAGTCCCCCCCCCCAGTGACACAGCGGTATGTCTTCGGACTTACAAAGCTAGAAACCGGGTTTCGATACCTGTAGTGGGCAGAGCACAGATAGCCCATTGTGTAGCTTTGTGCCATAAGTATTTAAAACATATTTTGTTTGTGGTTAAGCACAAAGATGCACAGTGGGATATCTCTGCGCTACCCATCACAGGTATCGAAACCCGATTTTAAGCGTTATAAGCCTTCAGACTTGCCACTGACCTACTAGAGGGGACAAAAACAGAAACGAAAGGTTTATACGAAGTAGCGGTAACTTATAAGTCTTAACATTTATAGCCAAATATTCCTTTAGATTATATTTCTATAAGTATTTCAGTGTGACTTTTTAAATATCAATTTTATAATTTTTAATAAATCCTGAGAGACAAATGTGTATGTCAAAAACGGTTAATTATGTTAATACTGTACGACGTTTAATTTATTTTGCTAACAATATACTAGACTGTGTGTGTGTGTTTTTAAAACATGTACAGTACAAATCATTTACTAATTATAGTTCTTTTTAATTAACTTAATATTATGCATTTACGCATTTGCACACTGCGCCATCTATCATACGTTTGAAACATTAGAAAGTTATATATATATTTGAACCTCATCATTAGCAAAAAGTATAAAAACAAGCCAGTTTGTTAATGAGCACAAAGCTATACAATGTGCAATTTGTGCTGTGTCCACCACGAGTATCAAAACACGGTTTTTAGCGTTAATTAAGCACAAAGCTATACAATGTGCTATTTGTGCTGTGTCCCCCACGAGTATCAAAACACGGTTTTTAGCGTTAATTAAGCACAAAGCTATACAATGTGCTATTTGTGCTGTGTACACCACGAGTATCAAAACACGGTTTTTAGCGTTATAAGCTTTCTTACTTACCACTGAACCCACTGGGTGGCAAAACAAGTCAGTAATTTGGGGGTTAAGCTGAAAATCATGTTAAATATTGTAATTTACTTAACGTTTCCTAGAGTATTTTTCTCTTATAAATGTTTAATATTGTCACCATTGTTTCATTTAGTTACAAAGATAAGATTCAGTAAAGGTAATTCAATTTAATTTCAAAGATTTCTATATTACAATTTACAGTTTTAGATTTGTTAATAAAAGTTTGTCTTTATAAATAAACACGTAATTACTTCTTAATTATATGACTTAACATTAAACAAAAAGAGACCATAGTCATATAAGTTATTAAATAAACTATGAATATTATCTAGGCTACCGCTGTTTCAAGGCAGTCATGTTCCTCACGGGGTTCATCTTTGGTTCGGTGGTGGTATACCTCATCTGTCTGATAGAAGACTTACTTCCAACAGCTGGAAACTCGGGTGTTGCTCTAGGAGCAGGTCTGCTTTTTGGACTTATTACAATGTTGGTGCAATATGTAGGGCTCTTTATGACCGGTTTTCACATGGGACTGTTTGTTGGGGTTGCTGCAATCACAATAGCTTACCTATGGTATTCACCCACTACAGTGTGGATTACGGTGGGAATTCTGATTGGTTGTGGACTGCTAGGTGCTGTTACCACACTCTTCTTCCAGAAAGGTGAGTATTTTTCCTGTAATTGTTTTTCATTTCTTGTATATTTCTGATATTATCATTGGAGAAAAACAAAATATGGCAATTAATTGAAACTTCCCATATGTGAAGACCTTTTGTACTGTATCTTTTGTGAATTTTCTCAGAAGCTGTATAACTTTTGTATTAATCTGTCTGAAGAGAATCTTCAATGAAATATACTATTGACTTTTGTAATATGCAGGCATATTGCATGTTTTTTACCTGCTTTAGTTATAAGGGATTTTTTTTTCCTTTATGAGATTGTTGTTGTTTTCGTAGTGCAAACTACAAAAATGAGCTACTTAAACCCTATCCACTGTTGCAACTTCATAAACTTGCCATTGAACCACTGAGGGACCAGTTACATGGTTTGTATGAGGTTTTAGTATAAAGTTGTGGTCCAGAAAGTCGTTGAGATTGCCTTGTTCTAGTTTCTTTGTTTTATGTTGTAGATAATATCTATTCTGCCTGAAAGAATATTGCAGAAACTATAGCATCCAGGTTGAACGAATTGGCACTGTAATATCCTTTTATTCTTTGCTGGCCGAGTGGATGTTATCTAAAAGTAACACTTGACCGATGCTGTGGAATAATACTGTTGACTAGACAAAGAAACCGTGTTTATCTGTTGAATTCAGGCAAGTTTTCTTAGTTCAGTTCTATCAGGAGTTCTTTGAGTATAGACTTTCTTTAAGATCAATGTGTTTAGTTCAATGGAAGTTTATCTCAAGATAAAGAAAGCTGTGGAGAAAAGCAAAATCCAGTAAAAGCAACTGTGGTTCTGCAAGTACATACACTGCAGTTTCTTTCTGTTTGTTTAATAATATATACTGTATTTATTTTAGCTAAATTTTCCAGTCTCATTATTTCACACAACACTAAGAAAACTCAGTTATCAGATTCAGGATTACTCTTCTTATTTCTTGAGTGAACCTGCTGTTATCTGAACCTTGGTGGGTAATTAAGTATTCCCTATAAACCAGTATTCTAAAATAGTAAATCTAATAATTTAACTTTGCTTTGGTAAAACTAAATAACATATACAATTTTTACTGTAAAACTTTCTAATACCATAGATCAGTTTCAATTTTGTCAAATACCAGAATATCATGATAAGTTATATAGTTTGCCCCTCAAGAAGAAAGGTCCACCTTTTGAAAGGGCTCGGGTTATAGGGTTTTTATTCATTTCTATCAAGATTTCTTGAACCTACATGTTTTTCTAACATCATGAATGATAAGTTATGTTTTATCCTAGCTTATTATTTAACAGTGTTACTAGTAGATTTTGTTATGTTCCATCTTTTTTAATAATACATTGAGTATACCAGGAGGACATAAAAAGGAATATATAGTTAACCGCATATGTGACAAAGATATCAAAATTAAATAATAGGTTAAACAATCACCAAGTTTTTTATATTTTTATTTGAAGAGAATAATGTTTCTAGCTAGTGCTCTTCATCAGATCTGATGGAGAGCTCGAAACGTCATCCTCTTCAAATAAAAAAAATTGTCAATTGTTTATACCAGGAGGACAGTCCCAGTTCCATTTGTTTTAAATCTGAGGACAATCTTATTAGGATTCACATTGTATGAGGAGCTAATAATGTTTGATGGAAATAGAGAGATTTTTCCTTTATTTGAAAAACAAAATGTTCTATAAATTTGAGCTTTCATGAAACTTGATATTTAAATATTATCGACTTATATGAGTGATCTAATATACTTCGTAATGTACTCTGATAATTTTTGAGAGCAGTTTTTTAGTGATAAAGAGCTATTGTAATGTATCGCATATGAATGAGGAATGGCTTGAGTGACAAAAAATAATTTAAACCTTTATAAAAAATCAGGAAACATGCATGTGTACATGGCATTTTTTTTTTTACAGTTCATAAATGTTGTTGGCTAAATGAGAAAATGATGTAGAAGATTCAGTTGGTACAAAATATTTTTGTATTTTCAGTTTTTTTTCTTTTCAAATTTTTCTATTGTAATAGATCGAAATCTGAAGAAATACCTCTCCCAACATATACAGAGTTATAAAGCATAGCTGTATTTTGGAAACTTCTAGTAAGAGCTGAAAGATTTATGACTGTGTGGACAAACAGAATGATGACACAGTAGTTGTATCTTACATATATATGTGTAAAGAACCTTCCCAACTCTATTTTACTCAGTACTAGCAATTGTTTAAGCAATGTTGATATCTTCAGGTTGTACAATATTAGGGACCAGTATCTACGGGGGTGCCATAATAGCAGCTAGTGCGGATTATTTTATAGAAAAGTTCATCATACTGCACTGGGTGTGGGATCGAGTGCGGGTGGTCCCATCTCTGTCTCCATGCTGGTTCTCCTGGTTGATCCTTGGGATCTGGCCTCTAATGGTGCTTGTTGGGTCTTTAACCCAATGGATGGTTACTGGTCGAGGAATACACCATGACGAAAGTGAGTTTCTTGATATCTGATAAAATGAGTAAACTACTAAAGCTTATTAAAGCCTTTTAACAACAATATGAGCCTACCACATTGTTTTGTAATTAATATAACTGCTTGAACATGTACACAATGATTCTTGTTTATCATGTTAAACGTGTGTATAAATATACTTGCTTAACTTGGTATAAACATGTGTATAAATATACTTGCCTATCAAGTTACATATGTACAGAAGGATGGTTGTTTATCAAGTTAAATATGAATAAAAGGATGGTTGTTTATCATGTTAAACATGTGTATAGATATACAAGTTACATATGTATAGAAGGATGGTTGTTTATCATGTTAAACATGTGTATAGATATACAAGTTACATATGTATAGAAGGATGGTTGTTTATCAAGTTAAATATGTATAAAAGGATGGTTGATTATCATGTTAAACGTGTATAAATATACAAGTTACATATGTATACAAGGGTAGTTGTTTATCATGTTAAATATGTATAAAAGGATGGTTGATTATCATGTTAAACGTGAATAAATATACTTGCTTATCAAGTTACATATGTATACAAGGGTAGTTGTTATCCAGTTAAACATGTGTAAAGATTTTTACTTGCTTATCATATTAAACATGTGTACAAGAATACTTGCTTAACTTGGTATATGTATAAGGATACTTGATTACCTATGTACATGGGGAGGGGGGGGGGGGGCAAAGTGCACATGCCACAAAGTTTTACAAAGTGCTATTCAACTTGGTATTGTATATGTGATGTCACAGTTATCAACTAATTATTTTACTCAACTTTGCTGATTTAGTGACAGTTTATGGTTGAGGAGAGCAAATACCACATACAAAATACATGAAAAATGAGTGTCAGGTTTTTATATGTATGTATGGGCCAGATTCTTTACAACAGGTGATCGTGTCTTGTTGGCAATAAATTTCAACAATAAACAAACAACACACAATCCACTTGTTTTAAAATAATATTTTAAAACAAGTCAAACATATGTAGAAATGTTCATTACACAGTTAATCACCACAGTTGTATCCAGAGCTTTAAATAACTGTCTCTTTTCGTCAAAAGTACACACAAGCTGGTTCAATTACTTTAGAACACAATTAACAAAACAAATTATTCCTCTCTACTCTGTTATTGCAATGCAGTCTGTGATAATTTCACTTTAAAATCGCCACTGTACACTCTTTATAGCTAAACTCACAAGTATACAGTCTAGATCTATCTGACTATATCTCCCACTTAACTCACTTTGTCTAACTTACTCTACTGACTCGTGTGTATATATATATATATATATATATATATATACACTACACACACACACA